TGGTAATGCTACTTAAAAAGATATGAGATAGCGCTCTGGCTGGTTTGGCTCAACGGTTAGAGCGTCGGCCCATGGACCAATGATTCACGGGTTCAATTCTGGTCAAGCACACATAACTTGGTTGCAGTTTGTCCCTGTCCCTGGTCAGGGCTGTGCAGGAGGCAACCAGTGGATGTGTCTCTTTCACATCAATGTTTCTCTCTCTCTCTCTCTCTCCCCCTCCCTCCTACTCTATCAGAAGATTAAAAAAAAAAATGTGGAAAAAAATATAAGTGGGGTAGAGCCAGGTGTGGCTCAGTGGATTGAATGTGGTTCCATGCACCAAGAGGTCACTGGTTTGATTCCCGATCAGAGTTCATGCTGGGTTGTGGGCTCGATCTCCAGTAGGGGGTGTGCAGGAGGCAGCTGATTGATGTTTCTCCCTCACATCAATGTTTCACTCTTTGTCTCCCTCTCCCTTCCTCTCTTTCTAAAAATCAATAAAAAATAAAAATAAAAAGATTCAAAATTAAAGAAATTTAGTAAAAGAGACTGTTAAAAGATGTGGGATAGGTACAAATCTTTCACTGATTTATGAATTATCTCAAGTTTGACATACTACGTTAGAATTCTAGCATTTACTGTCTGACACTGGACAGGTTACTTAGGCTCTCTCAACCTCTGGTTTTTCATCTGTAAAGTGAGAAATAATAACTGAATTTACTTATGACTTAATTTTTAAATAATGTATAACAATAACTGAGAATAGTGTTTAGTAAATATTTATCACTGAGAAAAAGAAAAAAAAAAGGATGTGGGGTAAGTTGAGCAAGTTAGTTAACTTCTCTGACCCATTTCCTTATCTACAAAATGAGAACATTTACCCTACTCTCTTTACCAGCTGTCAGTAAGGCTCAGCTACTATAAGAAGACCTTTGAAAATACTTTGCAAATTTTAACTTGCCACAGAAATCTAAATTATGATTATGATGATGATTTGTTACTGATGTTGAGTGCAAATGATTTAGGACTGACTTCCTTCTCTTACTGCTGTTTACAATGGCTGTTAGCCCATCAGTTCCTGACTCAGCACAGTCTGGGTTTCTGATCTGCCCTCGCCTACCTGTTGGACCTACCTCTTCTGACACCCAGCATAGATCCATACTCAGATTGTGGTTCTCTTGCTTCCTTCTGTTGCCATTTTCAGTTTCAGACCTGGATATACATCAAGACTTGTTGCACGACACCCAGTTCCCATGTGACAATTCCAACCCTGGGCAGGCTCCTCAATTCAGGGCCCAGCTAGGTAGCTAATACCCGGGGACACTGAGTTTGTTAGAGGAATGACTGAATGACTGATTTACCTTCATTCTCACTTTGTACCTTTACTGTGTTTTTATTCTCTCATGGACATTTAGATAGACAGACATACGGGAACACACAGATAAATCTGTACACAGAGAGACAGACAGATAGATAGATGTCTAGTTAGGTAGACAGGTAGACTGACTGACAGATAGGTAGATCAAATGAAATAACATTAGGTGAAAGCATATTTTAAATGTTCTTGTTATACCATTTACCCTAATTCAAGGCTGATTTTCAGCAGATGCTTACTGGCATGGTCGCATCATTATGGCAGATAGAACTGGATAGAAAATAAGCAGTGCCCCAAGCACCCTGAGTGCTTCCCCACGGCCATCTCCTGAGACATGTCCCTCCTCCAGGATCCTTGATAGCCCATGACCTAACAACCCAGGAGTAACCCCAGGCTCAGCTAGGAGCTTCCAGGATGACTCCCCAGCATTTGGATTAGTGTCCATTCTGATTGGCCACTACCACTGCTGGGCAGGTTGGTGCCATTTTTGAATGTCAGCTCTGCCCCCATTACTTATCTACTCTCTACCCATTACTGAAAATCTCCCAGGTCCAGGGCATTTCTCATTCCCTCCCCGCTCTCTTGTGCTCCTCCTTCCCAGGCGGAGCTCCCTCCCACTTTGGATTCCTTTGAGTCTTATGGCCTGTTTCCACTCATCAGACACTCAATTGTATATGGTCCTGTTTTTTTTATACAACTTTTCCTGTGTGTGATTATTTCTCCAGCTCCCTGTGAATTCCTCAAGCTGGAGCATATCTAATACAGACTTTGTATCCCTTGTAGTATCTCACACTGTGCTAAATAGGGGTTCAAAGTCCCAAGACAGACCCTGATAGATCCTGGGGCCCTTTCTGCACAACAGCCGTGAAAGGGAGGAAATGCTGTTGGGATAGTGCAGTGAATCCCCATCTCAGCAATGAACACTCAGAAAAGCAGCGCCTCTGTCAGCCTCAGCCTGAACTTCTCATTTAGCCTCTTGGGGGCCGTAGCGGAGCCTGTCGGACTGACCTTTTTCCCTAACAGCTTTCAAATGTTAGGTTCCAGCATCCAACACTCCCCATTCTTTCCCTCTCTTCATTTTAGAACACTCAAAGATGATTTTGTGCTTTGGAAAGACCCATCTCCTTCCCTCCCCTAGAATCTTCTGCTTTTAGGAGGGTGGTGCTGAGGACAACTCCCCAGAGCACGACTTGAAAAGACGGAGTGGCCCATCCCATCACATACGTGTCATATGCCCCTCACAGCCCAGTCATGCGTTGTGTGCAGGCGCCAATGTGACATTTGACTGAGCAGACAGGACGCTGGCAAACCCAGTGCTTTCTCGAACTTTCGCTTAGTAGACTTATCTTTTAGTTTCACTTCAGATTCCGTTAAAAACACAGGTGAAACTTTGCACCTGACGTAAGGGAAAAAACATGGGTTGTACGTATAAAAATTTTGGCAAAAAAACCACTATATTTGATATTTGTGTGACTTGATTTTCAATAGACAGACAATACATTCCCTACATTTCAAATATTAAAGAAGTTTTGCAGCTTAAATTAAATAAGACAATTTAAGACATTAAGTTTAAATATTATTTTTTCAGATTTACAATGTTAAATGTGTTTAGAAATACACATTTACACAAATACAGAAAGTGAATAAGGAAAATAAAAATTCCTCATAATGTCATCACATCAGCAGAGACAGTTACTGTTAGTGTCATTCTAATTTTACAGTTGAGAAAGCGAAGGAGAGAAAGGAAGGGAAACAAGGAAGGGATGTGGCTTTTAGATTTTCTTTACAAACGTGTTTTGTTTTTTTTTAAAAAAAGGACTCTGTATAAGTAATCACCAAAATTTTTTAAAGAAATGACAGATAGTCCCGCCGGTGTGGCTCAGGGGTTGAGCGTCGGCCCATGCACCAAGAGGTCACCAGTTCGATTCCTGGTCAGGGCACATGCCCAGGTTGTGGGCCCGATCCCCAGTGGGGGGCATGCAGGAGGCGGCCAATCGATGTTCTCTCTCATTGATGTTTCTCTCTCTCTCTCTCTCTCCCTCTCCCTTCCTCCCTCTCTAAAATCGATAAAGAATTTTTGTCTTTCATTTTAATTATGTGGTGTATCACATTTATTGATTTGCGAATATTGTACCAGCCTTGCATCCCTGGGATGAATCCCACTTGATCATGGTGAATAATTTTTTTTTTATCTATTGCTGGATTCGATTTGCTAGTATTTTGTTCAGGATTTTGGCATCTATGTTCATCAGGGATATTGGCCTGCAGTTTTCTTTCTTTGTAATGTCTTTTTCTGGTTTTGGAATTAGAATTATGCTGGCTTCATAAAACGAATTTGGAAGTCTTCCTTCTTCTTGAATTTTTTGAAATAGTTTGAGGAGAATGGGTATTAGTTCTTCTTTCAATGTTCAGTAAAATTCCCCCATGAAGCCATCTGGGCCTGGGCTTTTGTTTGCTGGGAGAGTCTTGATTATATCTTCAATGTCTTTTGTTGTTATTGGTGTATGGGAGAGCATAATTGCCAATGATATATCACATAAGGGGTTAATTTCCAAAATATATAGAGTGCTCATACAACTCAACAAAAAGAAGACAAAGAACCCGATTGAAAAATGGGCAGAGTAACTAAATAGACCCTTCTCCAAACAGGACATACAAATGGCTAAAAGACATATAAAGAAATGCTCAACATCACTAATCATCAGAGAGATGCAAATTAAAACAACAATGAGGTATCACCTCACACCTGTCAGAATGGCCACCATCAACAAATCATCAAACAAGTATTGGCAAGGGTGAGGAGAAAAGGGGACTCTCGAATACTGCTGGTGGGAATGCAGACTGGTGCAACTACTATGGAAAACAATATGGTGTTACCTCAAAAAATTAAAAATTGAACTTCCATTTGACCCAGTGTTCCCACTTCTAGGAATATACCCTAAGAAGCCTGAAACACCAATCAGAAAGAATATATGTACCCCCATGTTCATAGCAGCACTATTTACAATAGCTAAGATCTGGAAACAGCCCAAATGCACATCAGTAGATGAATGGATAAAAAAGCAGTGGTACATATACACAATGGAGTATTATGCAGCTGTAAGAGAGAAAGATCTCTTGTTCGTTGAGACGACATGGAGGGACCTGGAAAGTATCATCCTAGGCAAAACAAGCCAAACAGAAAGACAAGTATCATATGATCTCACTTATTTGTAGAATATAATGAACATAATAGTCTAAGGAATGGGGTAGTCCCAGAGACATGGAAGTGGGGTACAGACTGACAACCCCCAGAAGAGGAGGTGGTGGGGGAGAGATAAACCACAGAACTTATATGCCTGTATGCATGAACAGTGGACATGGACAACAAAGCTGGGGACAGGGCGGAGAGGAAGAGGTAGGGGGAATCAGTGGTGTAAAAAGGAGAAACATCTGTAACAAAAATAAATTAATTAATTTTAAGAAAAAAGAAAATAAAATCGATAAAGAAAAAAATTTTAAAAAAAGAAATTACAGATATCCATATTCCCAATAACACTTATATTGCCAGGAGTACCATTGCTATAGTTCACATCACAGGGTTTTATTGATCCATAAGCTTTACAAAACTCTAGTTTCCACATATCAACATATTGTATATACTTCTAATATGGACTGGTTCATGAATTCACATTTCATCCTTGCACAGGGCCCATGCTAATCTCTGTATCGTTTCGATTTTAGTATATGCACTGCCAAAGCAAACACTTGAAATATTTTGCAAAAGAACTGTACATTACAAAAATTCTTATGAAATAGAAAAAAGGGGGAAGTTACACAAACCCACCACTTTAACAAAGTTATTAATATTTTAGTACAGTTCTTTCCAGGCTTTTGTCCCATTCTCACTTTTTTCTTATTTACTCACTTACTTATTTGGGCTTAACATTTCAATTGAAAGCAAACAATTATTATAAGACCACCCACATCATTGCCCAACTCTGATTCATTCTCTCTCTCTCTCTCTCTCTCTCTCTCATTCTTTCTATCTCCCCCCTTTGCTAATTATCCTCAGGGGTCTAGAACTTTTACAGCATGTTGGATACAGAGAAATAGCTTTGATACCAGTTAGCTTAGGTTTGTATCCTGGCTCTACTGTGTGGACTTAAGAAAATTACTAGGCAACTTTGTCTCAGTTTTCTCACCTGTACAGTTTTCTCATCCCTATCTGTTGGGTTCTATGAGCATGAAAAGAGATAATTTATGTAAATTGAGTGATACAGCAATAAGCTCAGAGTAAGTGCTCAATATATAGAAACTTTTTTTCCCACTTAAATCATAAAAATTATTTCATATTTATTTTATTTGTTTTTAATTTTTTTCTTTATTGATTTTAGAGAGATAAGAAAGGAGAAGAGAGAAAGAGAAAAAAGAAACATCGTATTGGAGATTTCGCCCACAACCTGGGCATGTGCCCTGACCTGGAATCGAACCGGCAATCTCTTGGTGCAAGGGTCGACACTCAACCACTGAGCCACACTGGCTGGGCTATTTCATATTTCTATTTAATCTTCCTGTCATTTTAATGGCCAGATAGTAGTGTAATGCAAATACAAATCATTAAGACTAATTCACTCTCATTTTGTTTGACAGGTTATTTCCAGTTTGGGGCCATCTAGATAATACTGTAATTAATGTATTATTTTTCATATAATACATGTTTCACCTTAGTCTATAAATTTTCTTTAGAAAATTCCTTGGAATTATAATTTGGGGTAAAAGTATGAACCTTGACATGGTCTTGTTACATACCCAACCATATTTTTTTGAACTCATTCTTTTTTAACTTAAAAAGTAATCTAAGTGAATATAGAATTTTATACCTTGTTTTTTTCATTCACTATTATAGCAAAGATTTTTTTTTTTTTTTATTCTCACCCAAGGACATTTTTCTATATTTTTTTCAGATAGAGTGGGAGGGAGAGAGAGAGAGAGAAACATCGACGTGAAAGGGAACCGAGGTACGTGCCCTTAGCGGGAACCGAACCTGGGTCTTTCTGGACCACACGTTGACACTCTAACTGCTGAACCAAATTGTCCAGGGCACTTTTTTTTTTAATCATATATTTATATTTACAATGGACTGCTCCATGTCTTTAGCTTTTTCTGTATTCTTGGATTATTTCCTTAGAGTAGAGATACACAGTATAATTACTTGAACAAATGGTATGACAAATCATATGGCCTCTTATCTATAAACACATTGCCCTCCAAAATAATTGTATATACTGATTTATGTGACTACTGATAATATATAAGTCTATCAGTGTAACAACACATTCTGGAGCATTGTGTGTTATAATTTTCTTTTAATTTAATTTCATTTTTTCATCCTCACCCGAGGACATTTTTTTAGAAACATCGACACAAAAGGGCCACATCAAGTGGCTGCCACCCACACAACCCAGTCAGGGCCGGGGACAAACTGCAACCGAGGTACGTGCCCTTATCGGAAACCGAACTCAGGTCTCTCCAGACTGCAGGCCAATGCTCTAACTGCTGAGCCAAAGCGGCCAGGGCTGTGTGTTATAATTTTAAAAGCTTTGTAAATGTAATGATTGAAAAGACCTATTTAAGTATGGGAGACTTTTTGCATGGCATGCATTTTGTTACAATCTGCTCTGCCATCTCCTGCCCCAAGGCAGGGTCTCTCTGCATACAATGTCTCTGCATTCCTCTAGATAATCATGTACTCTGCTAGCCATTCTTTGCTTATCATTTGTTCCACCTGGGGTATTTACCTGAATTTGCTTCAGGTGGGATACTCATTAACTGTTTCACCTGCTTTTTGCCCTATATATTGTGTGAACTCCCCCTGAATAAATGAGACTTGATCAGAACCCTGTCTTGTCTCCATTTCTCATGTCTCTTGTCCCTCCTCATCCTCACTCCCCCTCTAGAGTCCTCGTTGCTCGACCTGCTGGACGGGTCACTTAAGTTTGGTTTGATTTAAATGTTAAATCACCTATAATTTCAGCATTTCCCTTTTTGAAATTTAAAGCAAGGGTGGAACTGAAACAGTGGGAAGCTGCTTGATTTGACTAGTAGCCTGATTATATTTCTCCTCAATCTGTACTACTCAAAATTTCAGGCATTAGCTGCTTCCTCTGTACTTCTCACAGCTGTTCTGTTTTAACATGGAATTCTGCTTTTATAGAACAAACAGAACTAAGCAAAAAACATACTACTCTCTTTGAGTTTACTTTTCCTAAGAGGAGCCTGCTGTTGAGAATACAGTTATAGACAAGATGTTACAGGATTATAGGAGGCAGCTGATGACCACCATAAGCACCCATATAAGAAAACAGTTTTTTGTTGGCATCATCAAGGTCTTATCTTAAAAGTTTAGAAAATTGATTCTGTATACTCAGAATTAGACTTTAAAACTGGATTGTGCTAACCAGACCCCTAAAAGACTTCTTTATAATTAAAAAAAAAAAAAAAAAAAAAAAAAAGCCTTTAACATGTAGATCAGAACTTGCTTCAGAACATTCTATTCCCATATAAAAGTCTATATGAGAAATAATAATAATCAAGGTGGTATGTGTAGTGGGGACTGTGGCTGGAATGATTTCAATGAATGTTGTTATCATCCTATGTGAATTTGATGCATTCATCACCACTGGAGGGATACACCTGACAGGTAATAAGAATGCATGGGCCAGGGGCCACTCTCCATTGGACAGGCTGGGATTCACTAACACATTTTTCCATGTTGACCTCTTTCCCTAGACTTTATGCACACTGTTTTTAATTCAATTCCACATTTGTTAAGCATCTTCTATGTGCCAATCCTTGTGTTGGATGCTAATACTACATAAATAAATAAAAACCCAGTTCCTGCCCTGGCTGGTTTGGCTCAGCGGTTAGAGCATGGGCCTGCGGTCTAGAGAGACCCAGGTTCGGTTCCTGCTAAGGGCACGTACCTCGGTTGCAGTTTGTCCCTGGCCCTGGTTGGGCCCTGCGGGATGCAGCCACTTGATGTATCCCTTTCCATAGATGTTTCTCTCTCTCTCTCCTTCCCACTCCATCTGAAGAAAAAATGGAAAAATGTCCTCAGGTGAGGATAAAAAAAAAAAATTAAAAAAAATAAAAACCCAGTTCCTGCTTCCGGGTACCTCAGAGGCTTTTGGAGAAAACTGAGCATGTATATAACTTTAAAATACTGTATGATTGGCCCGGCCAGTGTGGCTCACTGTTTGAGCATTGACCCATTCACCCAGAGATCACTGATTCGATTCCCGGTAAGGGCACATGCCCAGGTTGTGGACCAAATTCCCAGTGGGGGGTATGCAGGAAGTGGCCAGTCAATGTTTTCTCTCATCCATGTTTCTTTCTCTCTCTCTCTCTCCTTTCTTCTCTCTCTAAAAATCAATAAAAAATATTAAAATACTATATGTAAGGTAGCCAGGCGCCGCCGGTGGGAGGTGGGAAGAAACCGAAGAGCCAAACAGCCGAATAAGCAGAAATCGGGCTTTATTGGGTACACTCCGGGCGGGTTCACAGACTCGGGGGGTCGAGTCCGAGAAGCCGCGCCGATGCTGGGGTTTGTGATTTTTATATCTGCGCCTGTGGCAGCGGGAACTTGTTGTTAGGGTTAGATCATGAGGGGCTATGCATGGGGGCCCCTGGAATGTGAGTCTATTGTCCCGGAGCAAACAGTTCCTGGACTAGGACAGGAGAATGGGACAGGAGTTGATCTATGAGTTCGGGGCAAACAGTTCCTGAAACAGGGAGGGAGTTTAGGTTGGGTAAGCGAGGTAAAGGCTGAGCAGTTTGCCTGGCGCCAGTTCCCAGGCTCTCGGACACTATATGAGCCCTGGCCAGTTTTGCTCAGTGGTTAGAGTGTCGGCCTGTGGTCCAGAGAGACCCGGGTTCGGTTCCCGCTAAGGGCACGTACCTCGGTTGCAGTTTGTCCCCAGCCCTGGTTGGGTCGTGTGGGTGGTAACCACTTGATGTCTCCCTTTCATGTCAATGTTTCTCTCTCTCTCTCTCTTTCTCTCCCCCTTCCACTCTATCTGAACAGTGTCAAAAAATGTCCTCGGGTGAGGATAAAAAACAAAACAAGCCCTGGCCAGTTTGGCTCAGTGGTTAGAGCGTCAGCCTGCGGTCCAGAGAGACCCGGGTTCGGTTCCCGCTGAGGGCATGTACCTCGGTTGCAGTTTGTCCCCGGCCCTGGTTGGTCGTGCAGGTGGCAGCCACTCGATGTGTCCCTTTCACATCGCTGTTTCTCTCTCTCTCTCTCTCTCTCCCTCCCTCCCACTCTATCTGAACCAAAAATGGAAAAATGTCCTCGGGTGAGGATTAAAAAAACAAAACAAAACTATATGACTGTGTTACAGATCTAGGATCTGATTTCTTGTCACATGGCTGGATTGCAGAAACTTAAATTTAGCTTTGCTATGTGACATGAGCAATTTCACTGGGTCTTAGTTTGCTTGTATGTAAAATGGAGACAATATTAACTCCTATTTCAGTGAATTGTGAAGTTTAAATTAAATAATACATGTAAAGTGATCAGAACAATGTCTGGCATGTGGTGTGAAAGTTAGCTATAATGTTAACCTTAATTAGCCTCATGATGGATACTGGCAATATGACATGGGCAATCTAATATTTCAAGCTCAACACAAGGAGGAACGTATAGTCTAAACCCTTCCCAGCACTTTGGCACATATATATGCCATGATAGTGGAAGTATATTATCA